CTAGAGCTTCCAGCGACATGACCTTGTACAGCCCAACCCTTCTTCAAGGGCAACTGTGGAAGCATTAGGAACTATCATTTACCCCCATCACCACCAAATCAGTAGCTGTCAGCACATGGTGCTGGGCCCTCTGCACCCGAAGGCCTGCCTCACATCAGTCTAGTTTGCCGTGTGCCTCAAAGCACGGTGAACAGCAGAGACAGCACCGGACCATGTGCTGTTAGAAATGGAGTTTCCTATTGCAGCCTGGGACAAGAGCTGTAGGCGTGGAGTGTGCACTGAATGAAGAGAAAGCACTTGCACAAAGAGCCAGGGGTATGAGGAACTGGCACATACTCCGCAAATGGCTCCAGGGCTGTAGCCACCTGCCCTTATGGTGTCTGGCTCCGCCCGACCCCCACACTGGTGGGCATTCTCGTGTCATCAGCCCCCAATTGATACTTCCAGACTGGGAGCTAACTCAATGTGCCTTTAAATCCAGGCAGAAGAATGTGCTGGAGGCCAGATTTGACTGGCAACCCAAAGAGTAAGTCTAAAAGGGAGATTAAACAACCGAGACAATTCTGACCTGATTTATGGCAACAGCTGCTGCTTACTGCTCTCGAGAAGCAAAAACCTTGGAGATTCTCATGACATCTAAAAGATGACCCAGACAACTGGAGACACACATAATCCATGGCATGGACATGCTAACAATGGACACACTGGGCTCTGCCTTTCCTTCAAGAGCTAACTATAAAGAAGAGCCACCGTTTTTTGAGCAGGTATGTGCCCGGCACTGTGCTAGTGCTTTTCACATCCAACTTTAACTAATACCCATTATCCTATAAAATAGAAACTATATTCATGGGTAAGAAAAGTTGCATCCAAGGCTGTCGTAAATAGGGGAAGGCAGGGAGTAGAGCCCAGGCTTGCAGGGCTTCTGGCCTGCGTTCCCATCCACCACTTGCTATGCTGTTTCAAGACTCTGACCCTCTGTCCCCATCTTTGCTTAGGCCATTGACGGTGTAGATGTCAACCTGGCCCCTGGGTCTCTGCTTCTAGCTCGTCACCTCTCTTGGGTCTCCTCTGCCCGGTCCCGAGGCTCTGAAACACCAAGTCCTTCAGGTTGACTGAGAGCTGCTTTAGCATTCAACGACCTGGTCCTCAGGGAAGAGCAACTCTCCACCTCTACCCCAAACACAACCTTCCTGAAGCAGAGAGAGCTTTCCAGCTACTTTGCTTCCAACTTTAATTTCTAACCTCAATCGCTTCCCATCACAGTTTTGTTTCTTTTCTACCAATAAGACAGTTAAGACCAGTTCTGTCCATTTTGTTTTATTTGTTAAATTGCTAAAAAGTTATCAGGGAAAGACAACAAAAAAATGAAATTGACAGTGATTTAAGTATCCATGAAATCAAATCCACTTTTCATTCCTACACCATTATGCGCCTAAAATGAGCATCTCAGGACAGGCCACCCGGGACCCCTGAGTTGTATGAGAAACATCACTCAGCACCAGCTTTGCCAGGGCCCACGTGGGGTGCGCTGGCAATAAACCCTGATTGGTGGGAGGGGAGCTGAGCAGGGAGAGAGAGTACAGATGGAGGCAGAGCCTCAGGATTGTTCTCACTTGACAATGACTATGGTGGGAGCCACTTACTGGTGACCATGCAGAACATGCCTTCTGCAGTCTGCGGGGAGGCTGCACAGGACCCAGGCCTCAGAACTCGGCTTTCTTGCCCCCGAATGTGTTCGGATCCTCCCCACTGATTTGTGTGCTGGTAAGAGACCACAGATAATGCAAAGCAGAGCACATCACCATGCCAGGATCACCACAGGGACAGGACAGACAGACAACCCAACCAGAAATATCACTTTTAAGGGGAAGGAAAGAAGCAAAGCAGAAGGAAATCCAGAAAGATAGCATGAGGGAAGGGCAACGTCCCTTTGTTCTCCATCAGCTGGTGGCTTTCTGTCCTCCAAAGCCAAGATTTCTTAAGTTAGTTTTCTTTCCTTCTCTTGTTTCTTTATTTTAAAGAGTTCCAACTCAGTTCCTAGGATAGTTCATGGTTTCAACTCTTGATATAAAACCCAGACATTAAAATAAAATCAATCCAGAAGGGCTGAAAGGAGAGCAAACCCAAAACAGCCATACAACTAAATCTCAACTTGTTTCCACACCTGTTTGTACTCCCAAAATGTGGGGTAGATGGGGACTGTGGAGCCCACCACCCAAGTGTACAACATGAACGAAAAGACAGAGCCCTCTCTGCTGCCCAAACTGCAGAAGGAGAAAACAGGAAGCTCTGTCCACGAGGGTAAGAGACTAAAATTCCCACTGAGGGCAACAAGGTGGTAGGAGGTCCATATGACACAGGGCTCTCAAAGGCACACTTGTAGGAATGGAAGGGGTTAAAGCTTCAAGTAGAAACAAAATGTACTTTAAATACTTAAATACTGATAAATATTTGCTTTAGGTGCTCCTGAGGGTTAAAAAAAAAAATATGTTGTCTCATTTTTCTCAGTGACTGTTAAGACAAAAATTGGCATCACATCAAAACCAGAGTTGTGGTTAAACCTGGCCGACTGAAGTAGCGCGGTGCTGCGGAAATGGCCGCCTCAGCCGAGACGCTGCAGTTCTCCGCACGTGTGGCTTCACAGGCTGAGGCGGCAAGCGCCTTGACTGCTGAGTCGCTCTCCCAAGGTCCTCACTGCCCAAGAGTCACCCAGACAGACACGCCTGGATGGAGACGAGGCAGATTTTTCTTAAAGGGCTGTAAACGGACAGTCTGGTTCCAATACTGGGAGGCCAGGGAACTCTGAGGAGCCGGGTTACTTTCTGAAGGAATCCTGTTACCTGCCTACTTGGGGAAAGCAGAAGGAATCAACAAGTTAACAGCTGGCTTAGGAAGGCCACAGGACAAAGGGAAAGATTACAGAGTTGGAATCTGCACTTTCAGGCTTCCAAATACTTTATATTTAAATAGAACTGCGTTTGGAGGCACTGTCCATGCACAAGCACAATGTCATAAACATGGTTCAACAACATCAATCAAAATGGCTAATCTTCTAGGCTAGCTTTCTCTGTAAGGACCACCCCCATGATTTAACAGTCTTTGCCAAAGGAGGACCAGCAGCAGCCCCAGAGCAGGGAGTCTGGAAAGCTAATGCTGAGTTGTGAGCAGCTGGACACCACAGTGAGGAGGCACATGGTAGTTCCCTCACCCAAGGGAGCACATAGAGCAGTTTCGGAAACATACATCCCGCCCTGTGAGCTGCCCCTCTCCTGGGCTTGGCACCAGGGGGACTTTCCCACCAAGACCACATTGTAAAAGCTGATGGCTAGAGAAAAGGACTCAACACGATGTAACAGGAGAAAACATACATATCGGACAGCCTGCTGAGTGCTGGCTGAAAGCCAGGGCCAGCTGTAGCAGGCTGTGCTTGGGAAATGTGAACAAGAAAAAGGGGAGGGTGGAGATGGGAAATGCAATGTTTTGAAATTTAAATCCTAAAGACAAAATAAAAACCCTCTTTCCATTGGTGAGAAATCATACACACACACACACACACACACACACACACACACACACACACACAATAAAAATCCATATTTAAGTGGTTCAAATGTGTCCAGGACATAGTTTCAGAGACCATGTATCGCCAAAGGTGGCTGCATCTTATCTCAGAAATGACATGAAAGTAAAAAGCCAAGCCTTGGCTGGGTGACACATGAATGAGACAATCACAAAGGAGAAGTTGCTTCCAAGGTCAGACATACATCGAAGAGGTCAAGCACACGTCATTCAACTCCATCACCGGGTAACAGCCAGGCAGAAAAATACACATCACAACAAGGGCAAAATAATTTCTAGAAGGAACTGTTATTGGGATTCCCTCTCAGGATCAATTTCCTCATTTTATAAATATGGACGGATGTGCCCACTGTGCTTTGGAAGTAAAAAGAAGCTCATAAGGAAAAACAGTATATTCTGATGCTTCAAGGATCTCTCACGATACTGGCATTTGGAATGCTCTACCGGCCCCTTAGTGACACCAGAGAAAGTGTTCCAGAAATTTCTAAGATATTTCTCTGGTTACTTGAGCTTTATAAAAGAAACAAAAAAAAAATGAGAAAGGTTTTAGGAATTTAAAATATCTGCCTATGAAAAAAAGGTGGGGAGAAGAAAAGACAGCTATAGAAGATCAAGTTTTAAAGGAAGGAAAAGGAGAACGAATGTGGTTTTTGGCAACTTGCAACCAAATATGATTGTCAGGGTATTCCATAAAATCAGATACCAAAATGTTTTCTGAGACATGGAGGGGGCACTCAGAAGACCAATGGACACTCGGTGGACAGGTGTTGCTATACAGACATTGTTTCATGATGGTCTGGGCACATGAACATGGAATGAAATCCCTTGCTGTTCTGGGTAAATGCCCTCGTCACAAGGGGCAGAGTGAGGCCAGCCTTAGGGCATTACTGCAAAGAGAGGTTTTTCACAGTCCTCTGTGGTTTTAAGAGAAGGGGAAACACTTTCTACAGGTTATTCTTACCTTGCCAGCACCTGAAGCACACGAATCTGAAACCTCTACCTGTGCATCCTGCCTTTCTTTTTCTAACTCTGAGAAGGCCACATAAAGATTTACAGGGGGCTCTTCAGTTTCCTTAGAAAAGTTCTGATATTAGTCTGTTCCCTAAATTCTTGGTCTAATTATCAGCAAAGTAGAAAAGGCAGCACAGCCTCTGCTAAAACACAGCAACAATTTTATCTGAACCAGGACGGAGATCTCTCCCTCTTTGTAAACAGAGTTGGCTATATAATATACATTTATATATATATATATATTTTCTTAATGGAGATTTGATCCCAGCCTGGAGTGAGTGAGGTTGGAAATTGGGGTTTTGGTTTATGGGAGTAATTTTGTCCTCTGTTTTCCTAATTCTCAGTCCAAATGCTTGCACGCTGGAAAATTTCAAATTAAAAGCCACAGAAAGGGGAAGGGGTTTAGAACATCATCTCTTTGCTCGCACAAAGTACAAGGCGTTTGTTTTTGGATAGTACTTCACATTCTGTTTCTTGTCCATCAGCCCTCCAAATATGATGAGCTCACCCCGGCCTTGTACCACTGTATGCAGGCTGGTTTCAGGAGGTCCGACCACAGAACTGCTATTAAACACTTTCCATTTGACCCGCCCCTTCTCCTTGGTGTCTTTAATGTCCAGCACATACATTTGCATGGGCTTGCAGTTCATACTCTGGTACAAGGGTTTGCCAACGTTCAGGGACTGGGGAGGGTGGTGGCCCAGGCGGCGGGCAATGGGAGGTAAGGAATGTCCATCTGCTTGTGCTGGCCCTGGCCGGGGAACGGGCACCGTTTCTCCACTGCTCAGGCTTTGACTCCCAGGAGAGCCTGGGGAAGATCCCAGAGGAGGACTTAGTGCTGCAGAGGCTGAGGGGCCCTTGGACGACATTGCTTTGATGGCTTCTAGGCTCCGGCGCAGGGCACCTGGGGAGACAGCTCCTGCAAGGGCACTGGCCACATGAGGTGGGGTATGCACACCGTTCGTCTGTTCAGGAAGGTGTCTCATGCTTCCCCCAACTGTCCTGTTGTCCACACCATCCGTGTGATTGCTACTAGAAGCGGGTTTCAGATCCCAATTCAGATCTATTGATCCTAATCTCAGGTCTTTCTGATCTGGTAGTGATCCTCGTCGAGGAGCCAAAGAAAGTCCCATTTTTAGGTCATATCCTTCAGCGGTAGACGGAGTGCTAGGAGATACGGCCTGTACAGGGCTGTCCAAGGAAGAGCCACCTACCGCTGCTGTTCCTGGAGATAAACTCCCACCATTGAGGACGGGAGAGCCATCTCCTCTGGCCGGGGAAAGGCTTCCTTCCCGGGAACTTGAGGGGGTCTGCCTCTGAGCTCTGGGTCTCAGTGTTCCCCAGCGGCCGTTGACACACGGAGCTTCATCCATACTCCTTACTGGAGACTGAGAACGGTACTCTCGGGTTTCGGGAACCAGGGCTGGAGGAGTGGCACTGATAGGCGAAGGGCGAGAGTTCAAACTCGGGCTGAGTGGCGCTCTCCCACTGGGAGCCTGGCTAAAGACCACCACACACTGCCCCACCTGGAAGGCAAAAACTGTGCTCAGTTCTGATCATTCATTCAACTATCAAACATTTTATACATGACCTAGGCATTTTATAGGCACCTGAGATAGAGATAAAAATAATGTAGGCTGCTTTTAGGCTAAAGAGGAGATGGATGTGTACTATTATATTATTAGAATTGTGTCTACAGAATAAAGATAGAGTGGAGGAATCATTTTTTGGTTGGGGGTTCCTGGGGAAAATTTTATAGACAAAGAGATGCTTAAAGTTGGGACTTAAAAGGATGACTGGGGCCCGCTAAGTTTTCTCTTCTAGTGGTTTGTATATGTGAGAAACTCCCAAGAGCTATGGTTAATGTCCACCTATTTTGTGACATCAAAGTATTTTCATTTTCCAGACAAGTTTGCTTTCCAGACAAGTTAATTTGGTTTTATAGTTTAGGACCTCCCCTCCTGCTAGCCTGTCAGTTCCCTGCTTACCCGGCAAGCTGGATGGCACCACAATTCGGGGGCGCCATGATCTTCATTTTCTACCTTGAGTGGCTGCCAGGCCCAGGGACCTGGGTGCATGTGCAATAACCAAGCATCCTTGAATAGCTGTAAGAGAAGGACCAACAATAGGACTCAATGTGTGTCATGTTACAAAATGCACACACAGAACTGGAATCTCAAGTACTGTCTGGTCTAGAGAGGATATGGGCTATTCAGAAAGAAAAGCAAAATCTTTGGTTATTCATTCATCCATGCCTTCATTCATTCATATATCACCAAGGCCAGGCACAAGAAATTGTTCTTGTGACCCATGAATTGATTTTAAGTGATTTTGAATTTTGCCTGTGGTTGTACGTGTGTGTGAGGGTAGGGAGAGGAGGTAGATAATCCATAACTTTATGAACCTGCATTCTTAAAATAAATTCCATATATTTTCCAACAGCTATCAATCTATCTTTCTGTCCCGTCCCTCCTTGAAAGAAATGATAGCAGCAAACTGTATAGCCAAAAGAGGAAGTGAAAGTAGGAAGAATATAGATATGAATAGTCAAAAGATGATTGTCGGGGGTCTGATCCAAGATGGCTGACAGGTAAACACCTAGCCACAGCCTCACACAACAATTTCAATAAAATACAACTAAAATATAAAATGGACACTACCCAGAACTACAGGAAAGTTGACTGACTGGAAATTCTACAATGAGAAGCAAGGAGAAAACCAGAAGGAAGCGCGGAGGAGCTGTAAAAGCCTAAGGTACACGGCGCACGGAGAGGACGGAGCCGGAGAGGAAGGGTGACTGAGTGCCTGGCTGGCGTTCCCTAGCGGGAAGGAGATAAAACTCCAACTGTGCTGGGCCCCAGTTCTGACTGCTCTGAACCCCAGTTCGAGGCCAGACCCCGGGGACCCAGGCTCACACAGAGGGAGCTGGGCTGTAAGGCGGAACCCCAGGGGAGCGGAGCAGTGAGGCGGCGCACACATTGCATGCAGAGAAGGGACAGTTGGCTGTGCCGCGGGATTGCCCTGGCGGGAAGGAGACAGGGGCTCCAGACTGCTCTGAACGCCACCTCCAACTCCACTTCCAACTGAACTGAACCCCAATACCGGGCTCATTGGGGGAAAGCTAGATTGTTTGGTAGCAGGCGAAAATCAAGGGCACCTTTCTCTCAGAGGCGCTTGCAGCGAGAACTGAAGGACCCTGAGACGCAGGAGCCACATAGGATGGGGCTGATGGAAGCCAAGGCTGTAGGCTCCACCCTGAAACCCGGCCCCATCTGTAGCTGCGAAATGCGACAACAAAATAGATCACAAATGAAAGAAATGGAGGACAAAAAACAACTGGATATAGAGTTCAAATCTACGCTTATAAGGTTTTTCAAGAATTTCCTAGAAAAGATGGATAAGACCTATGAGGATATGAAAAGAGATCAACTAGAATTAATAAGGGATCAACAAGAAATGATAAGGGATCAACAAGAAATGATAAGGGATCAACAAGAAATAAAGAATACATTGTCTGAAATAAAAAATATTATACAGAGTCCTAAAAACAGAATAGAAGATCGCAAGAATCAAGTCAAAGATTTGGAACATAAAGAGCCAGAAGACACTCCTCCACAGAAGCTAGAAGGCAAGAGAATCCAGAAAATTGAAGATGATGTAAGAAACCTCTGGGACAACTTCAAGCGAACCAACATCAGAATTATGGGGGTCCCAGAAGATGAGAGAGCAAGATATCGAAAACATACTGAAAGAAATAGTGACAGAAAACTTCCCCCACCTGGGGAAAGAATTAGACTTACAAGTCCAGGAAGCGCACAGAACTCCAAACAAAAGGAATCCAAAGAGGACCACACCAAGACAAATCATAATTAAAATTCCAAGAGCAAAAGACAAAGAGAGAATATTAAAAGCAGCAAGAGCAAATAAGGTAGTTACCTATAAAGAGCACCTATACGATTATCAGCTGATTTCTCAACAGAAACCATGCAGGCCAGACAGGAATGGCAAGAAATATTCAAGGTGATGAACAGCAGAAACCTACAGCCAAAAATACTCTACCCAGCAAAGCTATCACTCAGAATCAAAGGCCAGATAAAGAGCTTCACTAATAAAAAAAAAGCTAAAGGAGTTCATCACCACCAAACCAGAATTATACGAATTGCTGAAGGGGGTTCTTTCAGAAGAGAAAGTAAATAAAGATAAAAATTATGAACAACAAATACATAACTATCAACAAGTGAATCTAAAAACCAAGGAAATTAAAAAAAAAATCTGATGAACAATATTAACTGTTGAATATAATAGAATCAGAGGTATGGAAGGGGAGTGAACTGACGATTCTTGGAGAAAAGGGGAGAGGGGGATGTGGGAAGAGACTGAACATAAACTGTGCACCTATGGATGAGGACAATGGGGAGTGGGGAAAGGGCAGAAGGTGGGGTAGGAACCTGGTGGAGGAGAGCAATGGTGGGGGGGGGGGGGGGGAAGGAACCTTTGTAATAATATGAACAATAAAAATTTATTTAAAAAAAAAAAGGATGATTGTCACTAATTAAAAGCACCCCCTCCAAAAAAAAAAAAGAAAAAAAACAGAGAAAAGGCCAGAAAATACAAAGACTATATATCCAAATGGAAAAGGTACTCTCTAAATGAAAATGTCACAAAAACACTCTTGAAGAGGAGAAGGGGAAGCAAGTTTGAACACTTAGCAGCCGGTGCCTCGGGAACGCCATAGCAGCAATACTTACAGCATTGGGACCGCCACACCCTCCAAGGATTAAGATAGTTGCATCATCTATGACAATCTGGGGACAGGAAGAAATTTAAAGTAAAACTATAAAGACACAGGCATCTGACCTCCTATGCTTCAGTTATATATGAAAATAACCTTCCCAGTTCCCGAATGAGAGGATTACTTCTAATTACCATAAGCTCTCCATTTTCCCATGTCAAATTTGATCTCTGTGAACAAATGATGAGTCACCTGAATGGATATGTTCTTTTTGATCAAATATTAACATAAGAGCGTCAACCGCATTAAATGCAGGGTTCTCTTAAGAAGTGAAACAGCAAAGTAAATGCTTTAGGGAGAGGCATAATATAAAGTCACTAAAAATAAATATAACCCATTAGAAGTTGAAAAGCAAACCACAGCAAAAATAATGACGAATTCTCTTTTGGCTTATGCATGTTGGCATCTTACCAGATTTCCTCTCCCCCCTCTCCCATCCCAACAGAAAGATGTTATGGTATTTGCTAAATAGTTATTTTAATTCCTGAGCACCTGAGATTGGCCACCTCGAGGATGAGGACTGGGGCCAGAGATGTTTGGCTTGGACCACGCCCACTGCTCAAGGTCTAGGACCCAGACATCATTGCTCCTGTAAGAGAAGGAAATAAAGATGAAAGAGTTGGGAGCTACTGATATAAATAAAGTTACATTTATAAAGATGCCCCACAAACTCATAGTTAGCACTTAAACTATATTTTTTTCTGTTCCTTTCCCTGGAATCCATCTCAAGACCTTCAAACCTTTGCTTTTTCCTTGACTCACTCTGTAATCACAACTAGTACCTAAAGAGTTAATTGACAGCAGGAAATAGCTACTGGTCAAGATATAGTCTTTTTTTTAAATTTACTTACTGATTTTAGAGGAAGGGAAGGAGGGAAGGAGGGAAGGAAGGAGGGAATGAAAGAGGGAGGAAGGAAGGGAGGGAAGGAAAGAAGGGGAAGGAGAGAGGGAGAAAGGGAGGGAGGGAAACAAAAACATCAATTTATTGTTCTACCTAATTATGCATTCAGTGGTCGATTCTTCTATGTGTCCTTCCAGGGATCGAACCCACAACCTTGGTGTATTGGGAAGATGCTCTAACCAACTTAGCTACCCAGCCAGAGCTAAGATATAAGTGTTTCAAAAGCAAAAACCAGAAGGAAGAAAAAAAAATTATTCAAGTCAGCTCTTTCATTGTCAGGAGAAATTAATTTATTGATTACGGTTACAGAAAGTAATTTCACCATGGCTAATGAGAGCTGTGGTTTTATCAAAGACGAAGTGGCATCTCCAACCCACAAGGGAACAGTATGGCGAGGACAGACTACTAGATGGCAGTGAGTATTTCATAGTCCCCTCTATAAGGTTATTTATTCACATCAGGAACACGAATAAGAGCGCCAATAAAGCCTTAAACCTCCTCACACTGACAAATCAGACAGTGAATCAGATGGAGTGTTCTGGCTCTTGACTCTGGTTAGAGCTGGCCAGTTGTGGCCAGAGGTGGGGAGGACAGTGGGTATGGAGAACAGCAGAACTATGTCAGACCTGTCACAGTTTTCTTGCTCCTACCCACTCCCCCAACTCATCCCATTTGGAGAGTGAACCATTCCACCTGCCTTGTTAATCTACGTCTTTCCTTCCCTGAAGCCCTAGAGGGCATGAACTGGTTCATAAAGGAGAGCGGAAAAAGGACTCTGTTCCTTGGAAAGTGGCCTGTTGTAGGCACAGACAGAAGCAGACAAAGTGGAGATGCCATCAGAATTTAACCTCACCAAATAGAACCACATACCAAACAAAGACAGACTACATGGACCTGATTCTATGGAGCAAGTTTTCCTCTTAGTGGTATGTGACTAGGGGATCAAAAAGTGAATGCTAGGGTGCGATAACTAAACAGAACCATGTTCAGGAATAGTGATCCTGACTGTTATTCCCAGGAATGCTTACCTTCAGAGTGACAGGAAGCAAATCAATAAACTTACATTTGCCGGGATCCTAAGGAGCCGCCAAAGACAATCATCTTATCATCTATCACACAGGAGGAATGGCCGGCCATGGGAGGTGGCCCATGGGTCGTCACAATGCAGTTCCACCTGATATAAAAACAAGAGGGAGTCAAGAAGTCAGGAATCATCTGGATCCACAGCACTCGTGGAGACTTAATAGCCATAACTGAAGAGCTCCCTGCTCTTCACCTGGCTCATTCATTTTTCTTAAAAGAGGAATAAATCTCTTCTACTTTTATTCTTTGAAATAAGGATTCTTAACTTTATATTTTAAGGGTCCTGGAAACCTGAAACTATAGGCAAAATCCATAAATATGTAAAATTATTTTTCTGGGAAGAGTCCATAGCTTTCATCAAACCCTCAATGAGATTTCTGAACACAAAGGAGACAAGTAATCCATTCATTTAAAACATTTTATTCCAGATCTTATCTTTGTGGCTTACCAGTTTTTAGAGGGTGAGTAAGTGTGTATTTCATCAAAAAATCTCTCGGGTTGGTGTAGAGGATAAGGGCTTGGCCGTGTCCAGCCACCAAATAGCACCAGCAGGTCCTTGTACACGACCAGAGTCGCTCCGGCTTTGGGGGAAGGATAGGACCCTGGGAAGAGTCAATAACAGCATAGTTAAGATTCAGGTTCTTACGACAAGCCATGGGTAGGCTGTCTACAGGTAACCTTTCCCAGGAAGAGTAACAAACGGGAACCAATTCTACAAAGAATAAGAGAAAGGGGGAGACAAAACTGGGTTTGCAGGTCTGAGAGAAAATCATCACCAATTTGCACATTTTTAAAAAATATATATTTTATTGATTTTGTACAGAGAGGAAGGGAGAGAGATAGAGAGTTAGAAACATCGATGAGAGAGAGTCATCGATCAGCTGCCTCTTGCACACCCCCTGCTGGAGATATGCCTGCAACCAAGATACATGCCCTTGACCAGAATCGAACCCGGGTCCCTTCAGTCCCCAAGCCGATGCTCTATCCATTGAGCCAAACCGGTTTCGGCCAATTTGCATATTTTTAATAATTAAAACAGAAACCTGAGTTAGAGGGAAGTTAGCCTCTCTCAGTCTTTTTTTGCTCAACTGAAATTAGGAATGAGAATACCTCGATTATTAGGTTGTTTTATGTATTAAATAATACATTCAACGCACCTGGCCCAGTGCCTGGTACATAGCAGGTACTCAATAAATGTTGACTCTCCTGCCCATCCCTTTACTACACTTAATAGAGAGTACAAAGGAAAGAATGTAAGCAATTCAGGGAGGAGTATGATATATAATATAGTTTAGGTTCCTGGATACCACTTAAAAATAACTGCTGCTGCCAAAACCAGTTTGGCTCAGTGGATAGAGCGTCAGCCTGCAGACTGAAGGGTCCCAGGTTTGATTCCAGTCAAGGGCATGTACTTTGGTTGCGGGCACATCCCCACTGGGGGGGGTGCAGGAGGCAGCTGGTGGATGTTTCTGACTCTCTCTCCCTTCCTCTCTGTGGAAAATCAATAAATATATATTAAAAAACAAACAAACAAAAAACTGCTGCTGGGGAGGTGGGAGGAGCAATGGAGGAATAAGGACACATATATAATACCTTAATCAATAAAGAAAGAAAAATAATAATTGCTGCTACCAAACACAGGTAAAAACAGAGGTAGAATGCAGTTCTCATTTGTCCTATAGTGAAATGTTAACACAGTGAACTCTAGGCCCTTAGCTATGGGCTCAGTAGCACCAATGGGCTCAGGCTTTCAAGGCTTGATATGAGGAATTCCAATGAAATTGTAGGCCTCCCGACCTCTGAGCTAGCTATGTTGACTAAATTTTGAAACAACAGAAATTTTGCTTATGCTGGAAAACTTTAGGGATAACAAATGTTCCATAGGAACATCATTCTCAGAGCTTTTGTCTTTGAAACAATTGCTATTTCTTTCAATCTCTTACTCTATATGCCACATTAGTTTGCTGAAGACCAAAGTATTTTATCTCAAAACTAGGTATCAGTAAATTTATTGTTGCTGTTGTTAAAGATACAGGATCTATTTTTTACAAGGGAAATTTTAAGCAAAAGGAATCATAGCAGTATATTAAGCTGATAGCAGTTGAGGTGTTCTAAATTGGGTGGATAGCTTGGCCTCCCCTTCAGCAGGGTTATGGGAACATGGGTTGAAAAGTCCTCCTCACGCTGCTTTAATGGTGTCAATTAGTGTCTGAGGTTGACAACATAGAGCAGAGGACTATTATCTTCCTTGGGATCCAACTTAAGAGTAACTTTATATAATTTACTGAGAAGGTACCAGTCCTCAGAATATAGAGTAAGCAAGCATCTAAGAATACTTTGTGGCCGAAGCTGGTTTGGCTCACTGGTAGAGCGTCGGACTGCGGACTGAAAGGTCCCGGGTTCGATTCTGGTCAAGGCATGTACATTAGTTGCGGGCACATCCCCGATGGGGGCGGGGGGGGGGGTGCAAGAGGCAGCTGGTCGATGTTTCTCTCTCATCGACGTTTCTGGCTCTCTGTCTTTCTCCCTTCCTCTCTGTAAAAAATCAATAAAATATAAATAATAATAATAATAATAATACTTTGTGGCATCAGTTTTTTTGAACATTTTCCAAATAGAATAGACATTAAAGCAACAGGATCTCACCACGGAAACAAACCTTCTCTAGGAACAGCTTTCTTCAAACAGTTAGTTCTTAATAACCGACTATCCCACAGGAATCATGACTACTCATGATCGGTTGTCTTTCATAGAGTCTCATTATTTCTGGTTAAAAACCTTTGCCTTTCTAAGAGGAAGCTCCCTAGCCCAACTAGAATCACTAAATAAATTCTATAATGGCCTAGTTAAAATGCTCATGTTACCCAAAGATGATTTATTTTGTGAAATAGCAAATAAAACAAGTTCTTGTCCCAACCCTGGAACTCATAAGTTCTGTGAACAAGTTGAAAAAGTAAAGAATATAATATAATAAAAGGGTAATATGCAAATTAACCACCACTACATCACAAATATAGCGGCGCCCTGGCCACAGAGGGAGGGAGGGCATCTAGGCAGGCAGCATGCCCTCAGCCTAGCAGACACAATGCAGGGCTGGGGGCGTGCTCCAGGTGGCCCCCAGTGGACACAATGCAAGGGAGGCCTCTTACCACATTTCTCTCTGCCTCAGTTTGTGTATCTATAAAATGGAATGAAAGGACAGTATTTGCCTCAGAGTGGTTGTGAAGATTAAATGAGTTAAATCATGGAATGCATTTATAACATTGCTTGGTACTATAACTGTTATTAAAGCAAATTAATATCAAGTTAATACCAGGTCAGTTAGTCATAGACATCTGACAGTATGGCCATCTATATGGCACAGTTTATGAGAAAAGAAAAGGACTGGACATATTTAATTACTATTATATGGTTAGAGTATTCCTGGCAGAATAACTTATTTAGCTCAAGAATTATAACAGAAATAAAATTGTAACTGGCAGTATAAGTGATATGAAAGGGAACTTATTCCAAGTCCCAGGAACGTAAATAAAATACATCAAGTGTGATGGGGAAACAAAAATTAATGGTTAATATAAGACTAGTTTGAATTTGCTCTTTTATGTGTACTAGGTGTTTCCTATAACACCTTTTAAAATAAATGATCAACCAGTTTTCAGAATAGCCCTCATTTATTTGGGCAGGCCCTTAAACAGCCCAAAAGGCCCCTTTACAGGCACTGGCTTTAAGTCTCCCAGCAACAACTCCTAGATCCGTCTGTCTGAGTAAGCCTTGAATGCCAGCACAGGAGGCGGACAAAGCTGCACTGCCATCAACTAAATCACCGGATTCCTACTCATATGAGCCTCTAAGGATGTGAAACTTCTCTTTCTAAAGAATCTGAGAGTCATCTAGTGCCAGATAAGTAACATACTCTGATATTCCAAGATAAACACTGTTTTCATTTTTCTAATAGGTATTCTGTCTTTTCATAAGTGTCACTAGAACCCTAGGCTGGTACCTGCAGGAGACCTCTCTGCCCTTGTTGGGACCCAGAAAAACCCTAAGATGCTCCTACTTATACTCCTTTCTGTTTCTCAGGTATAGCAAATCTCTCAGCTTTACTGGCTCCCCAAATCGCTAACTACTATGTTATATGCAGCCCAACTCAGGATCAAATAATCTTAATTGGATCTATCTATCTATCTATCTATCTATCTATCTATCTATCTATCTACATACACACACTAGAGGCCTAGTGCATGAAAATTCATGCAGTGGAGGGGGGTCCCTCAGCCCAGCCTGCCCCCTCTCACAGTCCAGGAGCCCTCAGGGGATGTCCTAAGCCGCAGTCTGGCCTCCCTCTGTGGGAGGTGACTGGGCTGATCAGGGGAAGGCACCAGCTCCATCACCCCGCTGCTGCTGCCACTGCCGACCACAGCGGCTGCAAGGCCTGAGTCCCTCTGGGGCTCATGGCTGCCTGAGCCCATGGCTGCCATGAGCCTGGGGATTCAAGCAGCTGTGGCTTTGTCTGGATGGACCTCTGGAAGATGTCTGCCCTAATTAGCATATTACCCTTTTATTAGTATAGATATTCTACATCCTTTTCAGAGTAAAATGTGCTGAATCTTAGTCTATAGGATGACTTATACCACCACTACCACCAATCAAATCGGGACTACTTCTCAAATTTCTGAGAATACTGACCAGGACATGGTCCTTACTCCCGGAGAAGCCCTCGACTGAACAGGGCAAAGTCTGTACCATGAATAACACTTCTTGCTGCAAAGAAGTTTTCTTCCGCTTGGCTAAAGAAAAGGGCTTCACAATCTCTTGCCCCAGCAGTCTGGGCACCAGTTAGATATTAATACCATCCCTATTAGCTAGATCCCTTTCTGACCATGGTTTGTACTGTTTTTATTACTCACCTTTAACCATTGCCTATTTAACCTTCGGTATGTTTCATATCCTCCCATCTAGAAGCCCTAAAGATACAAATGGTCCTCCACATGGAACCGCAGATGGAGGCTACTACATCCATCTTCTGTGGACCCTTAGATCACCCACTTCCGATAGGACCCTGACTGCTGCCCCCAAATGATGACTCAGTTGTCAGTAGGAAGCAGTCAGACAGATTGGCATCCCCTGTCCCCAATAGCAGTTGGGATTTCCTAATTGGAAAGGGGGACTGAAAGGGATTTTAGGGATGAAATAGGCAGATTTAGAAAATTTTAGAAATTAAGGGGTCCATGGAAAAAAACACAGGGCTATTGAGTTGCAAAAGACAAGGGAGCTGGGAACGGCAGAAGTTCATATTTCCTTTTTTTTAATTTTTTAATTTAATTTTATTTTTTTATTAAATTATTATCTGTGTACATATTTTAACATTGCCCCCCACCTCCAATACTTACTCTCCCTCCCCAGAGTTTTGTGTCCATTGGTTGTACTTATATGCGTGTATACAAGTCCTTCGGTTGATCTATCATCTCCCCCAGATCTCCCTACCCTCCCCGCTGTAATTTTACAGTCTGCTTGTTGCTTTACTGTCTTTATATTTGACTTTTGGTTCGTCAGTTTATAATGTTCTTTAATATCCATAAATGAGTGAGGTCATGTGGTATTT